AGCCGGCGGTGGGAGCGGTTGATAGCAGGCGCCTCCTGTGCTCCGTTGTAAGAGGTTTCCTCTGCCCTGGGGCCAGTACCCTGACTGCTCAGTGGTAGAGGTGCTTTGGCACCTGGAAATGGGGGGGAGGGTAAAAGGACTAGCCTTGGGGGCCGGGGGCTGCGCTCTGGCAGGGCCGGTTGTGGACTCCGGGCCATGAAGAGCGAGACGTGCGTAGGGTAACGCTGGGCCGAGTCCTCCCCGGAATGGGAGGCCGGAGCTGCAGTAACCTGCCGGGCACGTCCCTCAAGCTATTGTGCTGCCCCAGGGAGGAGCCCCAAGGGCCCTGACGAGCCCCTGTCTGACTGGACACACCGGCAGCTGCTCCCCTCGCCATTCCAGCGCAAGGCCCCGCGGCTGCCGTCGGGCCCGGGGGGTACAGCTGGGGAGCAGGGCACCGCCCAGTCCCCGGTTTGGCTGAGCAGTGAGCTGCTTGGTGGCCCCATGTCTCTTCTGCCTGCCTGGCGCCGTGCTGGTGGGGACCCTGGCGTCAGGCGTTGAGTCACTGGCCCCTCGCGGCTGCCGAGACCCCCACGGCCAGGTGCGGAAACGGGCAAAGACAAGCCCTGGCATAGCCTGTCCTGAGACTCCTTTGTACCTCGGCTGCTGCTGGGAGCCGCTCTCCACAGCCTGAGGAGAACAGCCCTGGGCTCTTGGGTCCAGTCTGAGGGTCACACGCAGCCGCAGTCCGGCCTCCTGACGGCGTGTTGGGGGGAGGGGTGACGAGCCGCAGAAGCGTGCGCAGCCTTCTGTGGCAGGACAGCCTCTGGCAGCAGGTGACCTAGAAGGTCCCTCCCAGCCCCAGCCGAGAGGCAGGGTCTGAGCTTGCTCCTGGTGGGACGGGACACACTTCGGCCCGGGTAAGCCTCAGCCAGTGTGGTGCTTCCTCCTTGTCTCGTGAAACGCTGCTTGCAAAGTCAGGCTTTGCTGTGTTGCTGGCCTGTCCCGCTGCTGCCGTCCTGTGTCCCTCAGCACTGGCGTGGGGCGGCCCAGCCTGTCCAAGGTGACGCGGGACCCGTGGGTCGCAGGCTTTCTCGTGGCAGGGCCTGCAAGCAGGCTGGCAGCCTCGAGGGAAGCCGGACGCGCGTCCTGCTGTGAGTCAGTGCAATGGGGGAGAAGCGCTCCCTCTTCCAGCTAGCCACGGGATCCTCCTGGCCATTCTCAAAGGGGCGCACGGTCATGTGGGCTCCCTCCCTGCCCTGAGGGCCAGTGCAGCAGATCCCCTGGATCCAGGGGGTCCGTGCCCTGGCCCCTTACGGCTGAAAGCTGTCTGGTCCCCTCGGTGCACAGCACCTGGGTGGCTTACACTGCAGGCTGGGCACGCCCCTCCCCTCCAACACGCTGCATGTGTGTGCAGCTGCTCTGCCCTCTGAGCCAGGCCACTGGGGTGGTTGTCACAAGCACCGGTGGCTGAGCCCCTCCCTGCTGCAGAGCTGTGGGCCTGGCCTGGTAAAACCTGCTTTGGGCTCCCTCAGGAGTGGGGCTGCTTCCCTGCCCCTCCCTGGTAGCTTTCCCCGGGGCAGACGCTGCCCCGCACTCCCACCGAGGCCCCTAAGGACAGCAGGGCCCAAGCTAAAGAGGAGCTGACCTTGGCCCGCAATCCGAGAGCGTCGCCCTCCCCGCCCTAGGTGGCGTTGGCAGCTTAAAGTTGCGAGGGTGGCCAGGAAAGGAGGCTCCCAGGCTAGCCTGCAGCTGGTCTCTCCCTTGCCCGACTGGGTTCCCACTCCTCTTGTGTCCTGCAGGTGATCCGCAGGGGCTGGCTGACGATCAACAACATCAGCATCATGAAGGGCGGCTCCAAGGAGTACTGGTTCGTGCTGACGGCAGAGTCTTTATCCTGGTACAAAGACGAGGAGGTGGGTACGGCTTGGCGGGGACCGTGCGGAGAGCGGCAGGCCTGGAGCCCTGGGTCCCTCTGCCCACCAGGAGAGGGTGTGTGTGCGCGTGTGTGTGTGTGCGCGTGTGTGTGTGCGCGCGCGCCGCTTCATGACGGCACCTTCCTGTTGGCAGGAGCAGCTTGGTAAACTGCTACAGGGCTGGCTTGCACCTTGGCACTCCCTGGGGGAGTAGGGCAGGCGTGGGGCCGGGCAGCCCCTGCACTCGACCCCAAACTAGATTCTTCTGAGTCACCCTGGGGCTTGTCAGCTCTGCGGGGCACAAGTCTGATGCTCCAGAATTGCATGTCTGGGGCTGATACTAAAGGAAACCGCTCCACGTTCCTGGAGTCCCTCTGGGGTTGCTGCCCTGCCCTGCCCTCTGCAAGGCGGTGGCGTGGCCCCAGACCCGTGTGGGCGTGGCAGGGGAGGGAGGGAACGCAGT